AAACGCGCGTGGTGTCACCAATGTTTCTTTGTTTGGTGGAGTTATCGTGCGAACCGGGGGTATGGGATAAACGTGCGTTGCTTGTTGGGGCAATTGCTTCCGAGAATCCCCCGAAGGCTTATTAGTAGCCAAGCGCCGCTTCCTTTGATGTGCCATAGGTGTCATCGCCACCCAGGAGCTGGGCCTTGTTGTCTTCACCACGAAGCCTGTGGTAGGGAAGCTGCTGCATCTCTACATCAGCGGCGTTCTATGACGTCTTCGCTGGAATCGGGGATAACATCGAAGGCGACAGCTCGGGGTTTTGATCTTGGGTTACTGTACTTGATCACCGATTGAGGCTCAATTTGAGCGAATGGTTTTCTGATCTCAAGCCTTTCCTCGATTTACGAACACTTATGATTACGGGTTTTTTCTTCGAGTTCAGCTCGACTACCGGTACAGTATTGCCACAAGTATTGTCCCGGCCACCAAACCTTGGACCTATAATTAAGGTGTTTTGCCGCGGATATTTACCTCCAGACTCCACAACGAAGCAGCTCAGACTCCACAACGAACGCACACTCTCCCATTGGCTAAAATACGTCCGTTTCAAAAGTTGTTTTTAGGAAGATAGGAGTACGTAGCTAGGCACAACATACACGAATTCGCGCTGGAGAAGTAAGATGTCGATTGACTTATTGGGAGAGTATGGCTACAGCGATATTTCCCTTCACATTGCTTTCGCAAATGCTGATATTGCTGGGAAATTTATCAATGACTCTGCACTGAATACAAACAAGTCTGTACGGCTCGAGAACAACCAAAACTTGAAGGGGTACTTGAAGCAATGGTGAAATGAACGCCACTCAAATGCTGCTCCGCGAGGACGAGGCCAGCGTTGTATTAGACTTGATCATTGAAGAGCCCACGTTGGTCCTCCTATTGAGCTCGGAAGGTGCTCCTCATGTTAAAGTCACTGCAGATATGCTGCGGCTTGCCCACTTTCCATCCAGTGTAAACGTATTTCCGATTCACAAGGTACGACACAACTGCGTATAAGTCCAGCACATTCATAATTAACCTCAGCGCAGAATTTAATGCAATCACTACTACGTACTCTGTCTTGACTGATGCGGTAGACCCACGAAGAATCGTCGCCCTTGATGGTGCAGCGCAGGAGCAGCACGCCCCCATATTCCCAGCTCATAGCACTCCCAACACATTAGACTAGGTCGACTCGCCGCACTGCACGCGACTCCAGTCCGGATGCGCCAGGACACAGCGTCATATCTTCACGAGCTCCAGCAGCACGTCCGGGCTCCAGTTGCGGCCGCTATCGGGCAGCAAGTCCTCTCCATTGACCTTCACGTCCTGCAGGTCCGTCATGGGCGGCGGCAGGACTTCTGTTCCGAAAAGGGCTGCTGCAGCTGCAACGATGCATGCTGGAACGCGTCGACAAGGTCATGTGTACGGTGGTCGGCCTTTTTGTAAATGGCAAGCAACATGAAACGGACGTATTTTAGCCAATGGGAGAGTGTGCGTTCGTTGTGGAGTCTGAGCTGCTTCGTTGTGGAGTCTGGAGGTAAATATCCTTTTGCCGCTCTAAAACCTATATCGACATTTAGATATATAGGGTAAAAATGGGTGCTGAGTCCGAATCTGACGTCGGATTCTGCAAATTCGAAGCCCTTCCCCTTCATTCTGGCTGTCGAAAAGACCCACTATTTGTTGCAGAATTCTTTGCAATTAATAGCCTGCCACGTACAGCGTTTCTGTCTCTACGATTGGCTTAAGCAGGATAGCAGCCGGAGATACCCAATCATTTTGGATAAATTTCAATAAATGACGCCCATCGTGTTTTTTACCATCATGGTTAACTGGTGTTACAATTCCTTTAATATAGCATAGATCAGTCAGTCGTTCAGCTCGATCTGAGATAATCAAATTGATTCATACCTGCAATATCTTATACATTTGCAGTACGACTACTGCAAATTTGCGCTGAGCTTAAGTTATGATAGGTCAAGTATGTAAGGACTTATACCTTACATCTTTTCGCTATAGAGATAACAAATTACGTGCTCAATTTAGACTATACCGCTCTCATGTAAGACGCGCTGCATGCCTGAGCAGTTTCTTAAGACAGGCATCTAACAAAGGAGGGTAAGCACGTCTTAAGCCTACATCAGGAAGACGAGATATTATCAAATTCATTTGGGCCACCTGACTTTTTTATTTTCCGTCCAAGCCTTTTTGGCCGGGACAATAAGCCGACGGGCTTTCCCCATAAAGTACGAACTAGGGTGAGAGCCGGTGGTTTAAGCCCGCGTGCTTCGCACAGGAACTTAAACCTCGCTCGGCCGTACAGGGCTAATGCCCAGGAAGGTCACATGTGCCTCGAAGTACAGTGTACATGTATAAGAGAATTGAAAGCATTGCGACAGGCAGTAAATTCCTCTAATTCAAAGGTAGGCGAGCGAGTTGTATTTGCTCTCTTTGTTCTCTAGATTTTATATCCGGATCTTAGGAAGCGAGTAATTCTGTCCCAGTACAGTTGGGTTTCTCTCCAAGCCTGTGTAACTCGTCGTATCAGGAACAACAAATACTAACTTTAATCAAGTACATGTAGTTTGATGATGCATATATGTTTTGAATTTGTATCTGTGATAATGTTGCTTGTGGCACTGTAAATCACGAATAAACCGAAGTAATTTACTCCGCGTGAATGTTGTCCGAACAGACTTCATCCGGCCTACGACAATCCATACCGCCAATATCCTTATTGTGATCGCAGTGCGACTCGCAAAGTGTGCGCGCGTTTTAATTGTTAGGACAAATCATCCAACGGAACACAGAAGTCTGTAATGTGCGTCAATAAGGAATGCGTGGGAACTAATATCCTAGTGAAGTTAATGTAGAACAAATTGACAGGTACATTTTTCTGGCACTTTGAGTATGTTAAGGCTCTGTTCTCTATTCATATCAGAGTTTTCTTACTGCCGCACATTACTACAAACGAAGCAACCGCTCTGCACAGCCTCTCCGTGTGAAACGCTGCACTGCAGGGCGGTTGCTTCGCTTACTACATATTATGTAGTACAGACAACCCGTTTTGATCGAGCCGATAAAGCAAATGCAGCAGTACTTTGATCCACGAGACGAGTAGTCGAAGGAAACAGAGGGTACTTCGCTATTTGAGCTACTATGGATATCTACTCCAAAAAGAACAGGAAAGGACCAATGGATTTCTTGTTTTAGTGGCAAAAACACGATTCAGTTTACACAAGCAGTGGAAGACTTTAATACGAGTGATAGCGTCGCTACGGCTACATGAAACAGTAAAAGCGAGATTTTTTACATGTACAGCCGGTATCGGCGCGAAAGGTGTCGGATGTTCCGACTCGGCGGGAGTGCAAAGCGCGATGTGCCGAAGCGCTCGCGACTGGACAGAATATCTCGGTGGATCTGACTGCATTTCTCGCCGCGTCTTTCCATTGATTTGAAACTTAGATGGGGCTTGATCATAGGCTGGGCTCACAAATTTCGGGACTTGTGTGACTTGCGAGTCGAAAGGGTACAAGGCAAAGACAGAATAACATGCCTGATTAGTGTACAGACCATCATCACTTTTACCTCAACGTAAATGAAACCTAAACGCACACAGCTAAAGCATCATGAACATGTAACACAGTGGTTTCCCGTTACAAGGGGCCCGGTTGGATTGAAGAGAGTGCTGTGGCTACGTACTTAAGTATGTGTGTGTGTGGGGGGGGGGGGGTCCCGTAGTTTCATGTACATGTATTGTGGTTTTCATCCATTTTGGCAAAGCGGATGATCCGAGATCCACTATATCGGATCCGATTTGCTAAACGCCGTCGAAATAGAAAGTAGGGGTAAGGTAAAATTGCTATCTCGGGCCGGATTTGTCGATGGGCACTTCGAATTAAAGGGGAAGTGCCAGAATTGCCGTCTTTTTGGACGGCATAAGTGATCTGCCCAAACTCATTTGCTAGAACACTTCCAGTCTAACCGCCATAGGAGAATTATAGCACCCTTTTACTCGGCAATCGCGCTACAGTATGCATACGTTTAGTGTTTATCTCTTTCCTCAATAAGTAAAGCTGAGTTGTGGGTGGTAAGGTCGTCTGGAGATGACGTCGCCCTCATCATTAAGACCTTAAGTGGGTCACATATAGCTAATTCAAGCCTTATTACCCTACACCCTGCCCAATTTATTTAAATCGGGCCACGAGATAACACAGCAAATCGGGCGGCAAAATTGATGAAAACCACAATAACTTAGTAGCACAAGTGAGTGGATGTTTAATGTCTAATACAGTGTTCTGTACTTGCGCCAAACTACCGGTATTAACACGAGCTTATGTCTTTCTAAATGGCATCACTGGCACGAAGAGCTATGTATTGTAGCAACGCTTAAATAAGGAGTAACACATAACTGTACATCGATTCTTTATGATTATGTAGTTTTTACTTTAGACATGGCCTTTCACAAGACAGACTTACAGTTAGAAAACCAGTGGTTTCGATGTATCCATTTGTAGGTGTACCTCATTTGTTTACATTCTTGTCCGCGAAGCAGCAAGAATACAATTGCACAAAGTGTAATTGCTCGTCGAGTCCAGGGTCACAACAAGCTCGTAACTTTCAAATTGAAAGCTGAAATTCAATACATGTGCTTGAGTACAAAACGTTCAGGACCGACGTAACAGCTCTGGACAATACAGTCCATTACATATATCCAGTGGAAGTTCCGCCCAAATGAACAGCTTTTATTCAGCACAATCTACGGAGCCTGAGTCACAATGTGCAAATACATGTACCGGTACCGGTACAGTAGTTTACAGATCGAAGTCAATACATGTAATCTGCACGACCCCATCAGCACGTTGGCGAAGCATGATCCATGTTTATACGATCGATTGTGTACATCCGCCGTCCCAGCCTCGCTCCATTTTCGGTTTTGCCATCTGCACCAGAATCTGCAAGTCTCGACATCTTCAATGGTTTCCTCGCTGGTATCAACGCTAGCTGTCGCTTCGACTCTGTCGAGCATCGCTCTCCTGGCCCCAACTGCTGATGCTCACCAGATTGTGCTGCTCCCGGAACCCCAATGGACGACGCAAGACAAGGACACCAAGTACAACCCGCTGGCTTTCTTAGAGAACCAGGGCTTTAAGACGCAGCAGGATTTCAAGGCCTGGCGTGATGAAAACGGCTACAAATCGCTTCGTGACTTCATGGACAGAGCCAAGTACGACGTGACCAGCGGCGCCGACTTCTCGTGCGGTTTTACGGACCCGAAGGGGACGCCGCAGCCTATTCCGGCGGGTGGCGCCATGCGATCGACTGGTTACACGCACGACGGACCGTGCGAAGTGTGGCTTGACGACAAGATGGTGCTGGATGGCGACAACTGTCACGAGAAGTTCCCAGGCAAGGACTACACTGTGGACTACTCGTCATGCAAGGGCACGTGCACGCTGCGCTGGTACTGGCTGGGCGTGCGCTTCTTGAAGAACTCGTACTCGTGGCAGGTGTACAAGGCCTGCATTCCGCTGACTGGAGGTGCCGGAGGACCGCCCGGTGGAGCACCCGCGGGATCAAAGCCCGTTGATTCTGGATCCCAAACGAACCAGGGTGGCTCGAAGAACAACGTGGATGAGTCGCAGAAGAAAGAGGACGACAAGAAGGAGGGCGACAAGAAGGAGGACGACAAGAAGAAGGACGACAAGAAAGAGGGTGACCAGAAGAACCTCCGCATGTAAGGTGCAGCGAGCGGGTTTGCTTGAGGTTTTCTAGTTTCTTTTAGTTGTCGAGGTGAACTGGTAGCGATTGGAAGCTACGAGTTGAGCCTCGTGAAATTCATTTCTGTTTGGACGTAAAGAGTTGTACCGGTACTCACGGCTGTGAGGAGTACTGCAAACAACTTACTGATTGGTGTCTTCTAGTTTTCCCTGTTATCGTTTTGAAACAATTGTGCGTATGACAATCCAACTGAGATAGCAAAAGGCTAAAACAGGGAACCCGAAAAAATAATATGCATAAAAATGAATCCTAATTTTTTAATTTAATTATTAATTCTTACCCCTCAATTCATTTTTGAATTTATTACAATTCATTAATAAATTGCTAAGGTACATGCCAACAAAGTCCACAGGGTCGCTTGCTACCAGCCATTTACAATACAGGCTGCCGGCCACGTCCAAACCTACCAAACATCCATTCAGAATTCAATCTACAGTTATCTGGGCACCCCTCTACCGCTACAGTGCCCTCTCTGCATACCAAGCATCGCCTCAAGTTACGGAAAGTCAGAATTATCTTTTTGTTCGGAACAGCCCCCCCCGATATAATATATCCATATTATGGATACCACCCAAGTAAAAATATGGTATTACAAGTAATACACGTTGGTGAACCGCTTTCGAAATGTAAAATGGTCGCTGATCATGTAAATACGTTTACCATTTCGACCAGAAAAGGTTTCATTTCGCTGCAGGATACATCGAACTCATAATACAAGTCACGTTAGGCTTAAAACAAAACAGAAAATCCATTGGGAAGAAATATACAATATGCCGACGGCATGCTGTCACCGTCGCTGGACTGTTGGCATTCTCATTTTTGTCTTTGTTGCTGACTATTCACTACATGTAGCCACCAGCGTCAGCGGTAGATGGCAAAAGATGCTGTCTTATCGGTCTTTATAGCATGTAAATGTGTCGGGCTCCCAGCGTCTGAAGTTTTCTATTTTAAGTGCTCGATTAATGAAATGCCCGACAAGTTGACACATGGCTACATCCTCTGTAGCCATTTGTAAAATTAACTTAATGACGCAGCGTCGTCTACCTAAGCCCCTTCGTGATGGCCAAAGTTGAACCTTGGCAAACGAGGCCTGCGCCCGCAATCTTCTTGATTGTGCCCTTAAGAAGACCCCTGAATAAGCGTAGCTTGCACATCATATACCCCGTTTTATCAGATAACATTGCTAGGAGTTACAGTGGACAAAGCACCAAATCCCTTTGATGTTCCTATGCAAATTTATCAGACACCCCCCTACGCTTTTTGAGGCACCTTGAGCTTGCAATCATCTTGAAACAATACAGTTCATGTATCAATACATGCTGTACAGACACAGCTTTCGAGAATTTGCTCGATTCTAAACGATCGGCAGCACTTCCCAACCTTCAGTGTGCGGCCGCTAAAGACGCGAACGCGTCTATGGTCGTTGCGCGCTCGATACAGCTCAACTTAAGCCTCAAGAGCTTGTGCTTGTACTGTATCCTTGAATATACAAATACTATTATTATACATACAACATAGTACTTAAACATGTCGAAGTATTATAAAACACCAGCAACATGTACCAGGCTGGTATTATTAATATGTGTAGTACTACTAATAGTACCAGTATATAATGCAGTTGAAGCTCCAAATGGCTTTGCGGATGTGCACGCCGTGCAATGCACAACTGTACTGAAGCTTACAGCATTGGCGGCATCCATTTGCGAGTGTACTGCCTCGACCAAAACCACTTGACACGCGTCCGAGCATGCTCGCGTGAAGCGATTCTAGTTTAGTCCATAAGAAAAACCAATTGCTCGAACAAGAATGAAAGTTAGCGAGCTCGTGTCCACTTGTCCTGATCTCGACAACGCGCAACCTGGTCTCACGGTCAGTACCACACCACCGGCAGACGAATCGGCGGGTCACCGTGACCGTCACGTGCTTCGGTCCGAAGCTCGAAAGCGGTCAGAGTCTGTCATGACTGAAGGCTCGAGCACTGCGAGTCCCATGCTCGAGCCAAAGACGACGCCGCGCCTCACAGATAAGCAGGCCATTCGACGTGAGCAATGTCGAGCGAACCAAGCGCGGTACCGGAATAAGCAGCTAAACCGAAGACGCGAGCTCCAACGACAAATCCAGCGACTGGAAGAGGACATTCAAGGGCTAAAAGTGAAGCGGCGAAGCATCCGGTTCGAAAGGAGGACCAACCAAAATCCATGGACCATTATTGGCGAAGTTTTCCGTCTTTTAGACGACGGCTTTCGGTCCCCCTGGCGATTGGCGAATATGGAGGAGATGATGAAGCATGCTGAGACGCGGCGAAGCCTTGAGTTCCTCCAGAAGTCGTTCGTACACGACGTGGCTATGGGCGAACTCCGAGGGATCAATGCGCTCATGGACCAGTGGAGACGCTACTCGTTGTACCTTGAAGAGCCTCATCTTGAGCTCAAGCGGGTTGAGGCTCTGACCAGTGGCGTCGTGACTGCCGTTGCTACTCTCAGTGCGACTGTTACTGAGTTTACGGTGCGATGTGTCTTTCCTCATCTTAAAATCCCTAAAGGAGGGAGAGGAAAGGTGTCGGTACTGGACAAAAAGCTAACTGGCCAGCGTCTTGACTGCAATTGTACCATCACTTTCCTCTTCGATGAACACAGTGGCCGCATTATACGTCTAGAGCCCACTATTGACGTTGTCTCGCCCATGCTTCGGCTTTTCGGGAGACTCGTCGACGCCTCAGTCGTAATAGGGAAAGCTTTACTTACGTCGGAGTGTGCTATAGGGGACCTGTCTGGGCGGCCACGACGTGCCCGGGACTAACAGTAAAACAACTTGTTTACCGGTAAGGTTGGTTTGTTCGCGAATCAATATTAATACTAGTAAAATATTAATACATGCTTAAGTACAAGCACGTGAAAGATACTTTACAACAGTAGTACATGTACTACCGTATACTACGTAGTACAGTACATGCACCTACATATATAATATGGAAAGCTACCGCAACAGTGTGTTCTGTACATTTACTTTTGGTTTCTAATGAGTAGTCTTCTTTTGCTAACATGTGACTAAAATATGACAATATTCATTCTCCTCCCGAAACATCGCTATCAAAGAATATTTGCCAGCGTAACCAAAATCAGCTATAATTTCTCATAATATTTTTTACAAGCGCACTAACAAGGTTAATCAAATAGCAGTAGGTGACAACGCGATGTGGCAAGAAAAACGTAGCAGAAATCGGTTACAGCAATTTTATGGTTCTGATTGGCTTAAAGCGCGATAGAATAACATCCATGCTAAACCTGCAGATGTGATCAGTCGACCGCTGGCTGATGTGCCCCGCAGAGGTCGACTCCGATGCTATTTGCTGTGTCACAAGTCGCTCAAGATGAAAGCAAGAGCGCCCCCTCTTCCGCTGCCACTGCCGCACAAGACGACGCCCAAAAGATACCACAACCCGGCAGGACGGTAGGTAGGTTGTCATTTTCAGCTCAGAACAGGATGGCCGCAATCACAGGGAGCTAAGAGAGGAGCTTTTCCTTTTTAGCTACCTCAGACCATGAGCTATTGACTGGTTCCACTTTGTTTCATTTTGCATAAGGAATTGATCGTGCCGGCACATCATGACAGGGTGTTGCTTTGCGGGTGCAGTGAGAACTTTTAACTAGCTATGCCATTTTAAAGTAGCTACGGCTCGCATCGCTAGTTTCGTGTACAACAAATCAGTCTTGTGCTTTTAGCTCCCTTAAATGTATGTTTAGGTTAGCGATGGCAAGTCCTCATTTCTTTTGAAAAGGAGCATATCACAGTAAACATGACGCTGCTCCGTGATGTGTATCATAACGTGTTGTCAGTACGTATGAAGACGTTCTTGCTGTGAAACACTGGGAACAACCTTATGAAGATACACGATGCAAGCTACTCAAAGCCTTGGAAGCAACTTAGTGTATTATTAATATTAGGAGTGAGTACAAGTACTCAGATATGTGCTAATGCATTATTAAATGACTTATGTGTTTCGCACCAACTCTCGATAACATGGAAAAGTTCTTGTTGCCGCACAAACATTGTGGCGCAGCAATTGTGATCTCAAAGATGATTAAATTCCTTAGAAATTCACTTTATGGCCAATTAGATGTCGCTACTTCAGCGTTACCTACGATATCCCGACACAAGTCATTGCAGGGAATTTTTAGTGACTCACATTTCTTTGGATGATGTAGTACTCAGACAAAGTACTACAGTACAGTTTAGATAGTAATAGTAAAAATTGTGTTAGTTTCAAGCTTACACATAGGCTGCTAATATTTTTTAATCGAAATTAAACTGACTGACTACAAGCCTCTGTCACTCTGATCATGGGTGCTTGCATTTGTATTTGATATAGGCACGCTTCGCTTAATCTCCAATTCCTCTTGCAACCCTCGAAATACTTTACAGCTCTTTCAACGCCGCTGTGACGCTTTTAAGACCAATGAAGTGTTCGTTCGTCAATTGTTGCAATTGAATTTATTGGTGATTTTTAGCACCAGCCTTACCTGCAAATCTGCACTGACCCTACGGTAGTCAGTATACGACCACTACAATGCTTGTTTTCTACTGATCTGCAGGTTAGCATTTTTTGTGAGCCTGATTGGGCAGAAAACCCATGCAACCTGCAAATCTACCAGCCCACTATTGTTTATACTAATTATTCAGCGTATTATTTTATTTAACAGTAATACTTTGTGGGTTATCTAAAAAACGCCTTCATCTTGGCATTAGTCCCTTCGACAGTAGACGTATCTACACAGCCGAAATGACAAAACGAATATATCCAGCAGCGAGCAAATTTGGTTTTGTACGGCCCCCAATGTCGGTTAAGATAGACGTCCAAGTCACTGCTAAGGTTTTTCAAGCTGAACACCCCTCATTGAACTCACACTCCGTTGCAGCATTAATAGTTTCGTCAAATTTATCCATGAATGTGTCAACTTTCAGTTCGTTTATGCGTTTCATCACTACGGCGGAGGCTCCGGGGACTTGTGCAACGACAAGTTTTCGCTGAGCTTAAGCTAAAACTTACGGCGGATGTGCCAACGACACAACAATTTCTTCGCGAATGGGAATACTTCCTCCGTAGCGTTTGTACAAGCCAACTCCCTGTCTGTAACGATTATCCTGGGCATCAAAATATCTTTTGCTTGCAATAGAGATTTTAGTTTGCCAAGAGCCCACAAAAAATCAGGCTCGCTTTCACCCGGTAGCCATACTTGTGCAACAGGTAGAATAGTGTTCATTCCAGTAAGAATGATCACAATCAAGAGGGGCATCCCGTACTTATTTGTTTTATACGTTCAATCCAGAACGAGAATATCCATAAATTGTTTGGCTAGTTTTGTAGTCGTCAGGTGAGCCCACAGTAAATATCGCAGCCTAGTGGAAAAATCCTCGACTTCGTAAGAGTAGTAAAACTTGTACTTTTCCAATAAGGAAAACAAAGCCTAGTATTCGTCTGCCTTGCCAACAACTCAGAACGTGAGGCCTTCTTTGTATTGACAATGTCCGACAGAAGTATTGAGAGTCTTCATCGACCATTATCTTCGTGGCGAAGATTTTAGATGTAGAAACCCCAGCTTCAGCCTGCAAAGAGACTAGGTCTAACGTAGAAGTTTCCTCAGTGGTTTTTCGTTGAGCATCCCGCTGTCTGTGGGCGACATGGACGCGGACGTCCGATGCAGCAGGGTGGTTATGCGTCTGGCTGCCATCCTTTGTGTGTTAAGGCCCTGTTGGATCCGATGTGTCGACCGCGACAATACTTAGACGCATTTTGCAGCCACATCGTTTTGATGTTACCATTGGGCGCTGGCGGTCTGAATCTTTAAGTTTTCTTGTATTTTTCGGCTTACCAGCCCGATCACATCCGTACAAGCGATATCGCACTTTTCCTTCTTCGTTTAGAGCCAGCTTTTTCCGTGACGCATTGTACCGATGGGCTTTAGTCCAAGCATGAATCGCCGCCTCAGCGACTTCTTCAGACTCGTACACCTCTTCGGGTGGCGCAGGAAGATGATACTGGTGTTGGTCGTTGACTTCGGTTGGTGATAATGCAGTCTCGAACAAGTGAACAGATGCAGGACCGGGCATGGCAGAACGAAGGAGTAGAAGGTGTCTTACCAATGGAGGGTCGTTCGTTATATGATTTGGTCCTTCTCACAGTATATATCTAAATTTCACAGCAGCTATATTTTTAGATCAAAACTTCAGCTTACTAACGCCACGTGCTTACACTTTTTCTGCCCGGGTGCTCCGGTCAGGGTGCTCCCTAACTTTTCCCCCTCTCGACGTACACCATTTCCGTCAACCTCGCAAGCGCGATAATATTTGGGACGTAGCCCACATACTCGCGACCCCGTATGCAGTTGGGTGAGACGATGGTGCCGAACGATTCACGCACATCTGTATTCTGTGCGCTGCGATCTCAACCTTCCAGCCCAGCCATCCTGCCGAGCGCATAGAAGAGTGGTCTCCGCCGTTGAAGACACATTTCCAATGCCAAGGATCACGTGGTCTCTAAACACCTATTGATGTGACCGAGAAGGTCAAGTGGGACAAGCGTGCTCGTCACCAGCTTGAGGCGCACTTCCCACCGGCGTGGCACGCCTCGTCGCAAAATCCACCAATGCTGAAGCAAGGAGCACTACAAAAACGCAGGGGTCCGAGTCCGACGGAAGCGAACGTGCAAGCTACCCGTGGCAGATTAATGACGGGAAGTCGATATACGATCAATAGTTGCACTTTTGTCAGTACTTACTAATCATATGCTTTGATACACGGTAGTAATTAGAGCTGTCGACGTCTGGTGTATTCGAAGATTTACACCTCGACATCCAGAAATGCAAACGACGTAAAAAATACACCCCTTCGACACCCACCTTTGGGTCACTCTTTCGAATTAAGGTGCTGCTGTTTGTGGAGAGCAACCTCACCAAATGTGGCGTTGTTGCTCATGCTCCATGGCCGTTTGAAGCCCAATTCATCTATTGATACAAGCTCTCAAAGAACGTCCGATGCCCAGGTCGCATAGCAGCAAGCAGGGATTGGCAATATCGGCAGTGCCCAGACATCAATTACTGCGCCGCGCTGGTTTCATGCACACGAGTGCTTCCTGTCATTTGGTCGGAGCAGGTTCACAAGTTTGGCGCCAAATCAATCTGGCTGTACTGAATTGGCGCTGAATGGGTCTAAAATGAACGATGCGCTGGGCGCGGAGTAAACCTTCGTGGCTTGCCAATATCCATGAGGATCTTCTTAGAAGTGGGCGTCATGTCGCATGTTAATATGTGCATTTAAACAGGCTGAAAAATGGTAGGTTATGTACTGGGCTTCTCTCACATAGTTTCGACCATTCACACTACGAGAAATCGTATGTAGTGTCGGCCGTGGTGCAACGCTCGACACTCGAGTGCAAAGATTCAGACGTCCCGGCGTCGTCGACCTTCGAATCAGTGCCCAGGGTCGCGAACTCGACAGCTCTAGTAGTAATATGACTTCCCACTCTGATGCAACTGGTGATGAATACATGTAGCACTTCGATGTTGGCTCTGCTAGCGTACTTTAACTTCCTGGACGCTGACTTCGAGCGATTCTGTCTCCTGGCGGAGTGAATGCTGAAAGAGGAGTTCAAAGGGGCTTACTACTCCTCATTGTTCTCACGACAACTGCATGGCAGGAGACGGAATTAAGGCTGTAATGGAAAGCTCGGTGAGCTTCATCAACAAGCATTGAGAGTTCGTCAATCTTGCATGGCTGATAGCAGTGCACAACGGCCCACACGC